ATGAGTTACAAGTCTTTAAGAATTAATTATATGTCTTGTTCTCACAATGTTATTACACATGAGGACACTATCTGAATAACCTGAAAGCATTTCACAGTCCTTGTGTGAGTACAGGATTGGTAAAGTAAAAAAAGAAAAAAAAAGAAAAAAAAAAAAGAGTGAGAGTCTGTGACAGCACCTTTTCTGGTTTTAAGAAATGCTTCCTGCCTAAAGGCAGCTATATATTGATGGGAATAAGAGTGCTCTGGCTCCCAAGATGAACTACAAATAAGTATCCATGTGTTAAAAAGTAATGATGTATTTGACTTTAGGATAGATGGGAAAGAAAAAATTCAGCATTGCTGGAACGAATGCATGTGAAGCAACATTCTGATGTTCTAACCTCCATTTTTTAAGGATTAAAGAACTTTTATAAAAATAGAACTAGTGGACTATTTAACATCAAATGAATTTCTTAAAATTAAACTTCATATAACTGCTTCTACTGCAAAGCTGTTAATGAAAAGTATATTATTGTTAATTAGCATTAGTATTGTTAGAAACCAGGCAACACATACGCACAGTTAACTGATAGCTTATAAAAGGGATATGGAGAAGAGATAAAGATAATATGCGGAGCTCATCCTTATGCTGATTGGACTTTCTCACAAAGTTTTTCCCCATGAGAATATAAGAAACAGGCAATGCACAAGTGGAGTGAGGATGCTGAAATTTCAGCTTCACTCAAGACCATGGCAAGACTCAAGGATTTCAGTCTAAAAGATTCCAACAGATGAGAAAAAAATCTTCTTCCTCCTTACAAGTGTGGAAAGAGGGGTATCCTGGCTGGGTTTTCTGAAATTGAAAACACCTTTTGCACAAGGATAGGAGATATCTGCATTTCACTGATGAAAATAATATAGGGAAAAAATAAAGCTGGTGAAGAAGTTTCAAAGACCATCTCTTTCAGTAAAAAAAATTAGGAGCAATTGTTAATGCCATTTTTCATTTTAAAAGTAATCTTTTACTAGCATAAACCTTTTCTTTTTATTATTAGTTTCTAACTCAAAGGAAATAAAAAAGTTCTCTACTAAGTTATCTCATGGCAAACTGACAACAATATGTTTGCCGGCGACAAACTGATGATAGCAACAGATGCATCAGTAGGCTCCTTTGAGCTCAGCAAGGACAATGAAATGCCCCTTCAGTTCAGAGGTATGAAGAACTGTGCTGAAGTTAAGCCTAGCTATACTGTACACAAAGAAGTTTATAAATGGAGAATGAAAGAAACCGAATGTAAAGAGATGTTTCAGTCTGTGGCTCCAGAGGTCGACCCAGATGGTCCTGCCAAAAGGGGACAGCTTGCTTCTTTCTACCTCTCTCCCCCCTTACTCCTGGTCATGTGAAGTATTCCCTCCTTTACTTCAGCTGTATCAGTTGAGGCACCCTCCTGCAAATCACTAACAGAGTAGAAAATTATCTGTCTGTTTCTGCTGGCTTAGTTTTTTTCTCTTACTTTAGAAGTTCTAGCTCAGGAGGTTTTGACAATCACTGGAGCTGCAATAAAAACAGCATCATGAGCTTGTTTCTGGGACCTGTGGGGAAAATGAGAGAAAGAAGCCAGTTCTCTCCTTTTTAGTAGCAGTGAACTGTTAGATCAGCTCTCCACATCTCTCCATCATACCCTCTAAATGCACTGACTTTCTAGTCTGCAGGCTTGCTCTCAGGCACAATGACCTTAAGTGATGTCCCAAAATAGACAAAACTGGCATGGCTCAATTGGAAAGAGGATCTTATTAAAAAAACCACAGTCAATAAAGAATCAAAAGATGCACATGCAAAGCACTGATGCTGGAAGACTTTCAAATGAGAGAAAACCCAGAAACCTCCTGATCAGTTGTCATCACTGGTTACTCCCTGGGTTCCCTCACAGTAGAAGTGCTGTTAACACCAGCATCCTGATGATTTTCTAGTTTCTGGAAATTTTCAGCCTGTGCTCTGAGAATATTTTCCGCTACTTCTCTTTTAAATGATTGATCTGTAGTGCTGCTATACTCCTAAAAAAGGGCATCTACTTTTCTTCATCTCTGAACACCAGGGAATTAATGCACGTTTCATTGTACCTGTCATGGGCACATCAATAAACAGAAAAGGCATGCACATAAATCCAATGGTATAATAGAAAGGTTTACCTCAACATGGGTTTTAATTGACCTATTTACTTTGAAGTGGTGACTATACTTTTAGATGACTTCTACACATCACCACAAATGAATGCCAGTAAATTTTTTTACAGTACCATCTGGTCATGCGTTCTTCTGCATGTCAGGTTCTGTATTGAAAATTATTTTATAAATGCATTACAGAGTTTTTAAAGGCTTTTAATTGGTACCAATTTTCCTAGGGGGTACTATCTCCCTATTACAGAGCCAACCTCTTTACTATTATGAGACTATGTCTATCCTCTGGGGAAAATTATAATTAGATGCTCCTGGTGGCTGGTTCTCTTGTAATAATCTTACATTTGTAGTCCAGTATTAACTGCCTGGCCCACAGACTTGACATTTTGCAGGGATATGCTTTTGCAATCTCATTAAAGTTTGTACCAATTTGATCAAGTTCCAAATCTTTGGAAAATCAGCACTTTATCATTCTGAACATTAAGTTTCAGATTTCAATGGTAAATGATCACTAAATTTTTGTCCTCACTGAGCATGCTCTCAGCCCTGATCAAAGTGGGCTTGTGCTTCAAAGAACAAGTAAGGATACCACAGTATAATGCTACAACAATCAGAAAGACATTCTTTAACAGCAGTTAGGTCCATTGGCTTCAAAGTGAAGCCAATATCAAGGCCCACTGGCTTCGAAGTGAAGGTAAAGATGACTATTTCTCTAGTAGCCTAATCATGTCTCCCCTCTTATCATTCACTGGCAGAGGAAGAAACTGTCTAATTCAGAGGTATGGCTAAAAGCAAACCAAAAGTCCAGAAAAAAACCCAAGATGGGTACACAGAGTCTGCTGGGTGTAGAGCTTTAAGAGTAGAAGAGAAACTATAACAGACCTGGCAAAGATTAATTCAGTGATGAGAAAGAACAAGAGGGCTGTGAGCTACATTATCGGGTGAAGAGAAACACCAGGAACAGGGAAATGGCTGGAAAAATAGAATAACCTGGACTAGGAGTTGCTGAAGAAGGTGAAGATTAGAAACAGAAGCTATCAATCAGAGTTGTAGAGGACAAAGGCACAAGAAGCTGACTAAGAGAAGAACAAAGCCTTAAGGGCAAACAGAAGGAACAGTGAACGGAGACTGATGGGAAAGATGGGTCAGATAATAACTTGGGACAGGAAACATGGGACTAGTTGGTCAAGTAAATTTGGGGGCATCAGGGACAATACTAGAACTTAGACTGGTAGGGAGGATAAGATTAGGACTAAACCCATTGCAAGAGAGTCCCCTTCACCACTGCAATCTGCAGGTGCTACTGCACACAAGTTGCAAAAAATCATCCTTGGCAAACAAAGCATTTAAGATGGGTTGGTGGTGACAGGATGGACAAGGAGTTAAATTCCTTTAGGTGAGCACTGATTCATATTGGGTATGCTGGGGAGCAAAATCCTTCCTACATTCCAGTCACGCACAATAAGCATAAGGTGCAAAAGCTTGTCTGTCGCAGCACTCCCAGTCGTTGCAGTTAATATATGGAAAGGCTTGAGGAAATAAATGCTGTCTTGGTCTTGATTCCTTCTCACTCCACATTATGGAGACAGATCCCAGAAGAATGTATTGGAGTACCATGAGGAATCCATTTCAGAGCTCTTCTTAGCACAAGGATCATTTCACTCTGTCTATATCTTCCATTTGGTCAACAGCTGGGAAAACTCTTGGTATCTTTTGGGCCTGCCAACCCACAGCTGTAGGCAATCTGATCTGTGAGGTGTTACATGGAGGAGGTCTGCTTAGGAGGCTAGATAAAGCAAAAACTTGTACTGTAACACTGGCGTAGCTCCCTCACCCACAGTAAGCAGTTCCTGGCATATTTTTCCAGAAAAGCAAAAAAAAAAAAAAAAGCACCACAGAAGTCAGCTTCACCTTGAACCTGTACTTACAGGTATTCTTTTATTTTAACTTGTACATTTTTGTTTGGGCTTTTAGCATTTAAGCTACAGAGTCCTATGGCATATAAGTATATACATATTTATGACTTATGAATCATGAGATTTAGTTTTCTTCATCAACATTAGTAGGTGTTTGTTTATAATAACAGTCCAGAGCTTATCTCACTCCAGACAAATTTCGTATTACAGAATGATTACTGAGCTTGGGAAGGTGTGTTCATTTGCATTTAATTCTCTTTTGAAACAGGGAAATTCTGCCACCCTCTGGACAACAACTAAACTAAGACATATTTACAATCAGCCTCAAAAGTAAAAAAATCCCACTGCTGCTGATACACTCATTGCTTTTTAAGCACATTTTACAATTAACTACTAGGCTGAATGAAAAATAGCAGTTACTATTAAACTACAGACAAACCAATTGCTTTAAGTACTGAATAGCCTTCTTACTAATAGTATCTAATCAAAGAGCAAACTTTAAAGTGTTCTGCTCTTAAGCTTTTCTAGTAGTCAACTCATTGTTCACAGCTGTATTTTTAAAGAGAATATGATATAGTTTTTCATCATGCCAATATGCATTTCCACAAACTAGAACATTCTGGAATTATTAGTGTCTCTGTGACTGAGCCAAAAGTGAATACATATAGAACAGAGTTCAGTGGGAGAAAGAAGGCTCAGGAGAAGGTTGCACTACAGCTGATCAGATTAGCTTGAAAAAGTTATCAATGGGAAAACACGCCTCTTGCATTCATGTGGCATGCAGCACTTATTGCAAAGAATACTGCTAGTCAACACATTAATATGATCATTTGAAACAGTAAATGTCTGTGCATTCAGAGTTTCAACTTGTGCTTCCAGGATTAGTGTGGGGAAGGAGGGCTGAAGCATATATCTTGTACAGTACCTTGTTTTGGCTATGGAGCCGAGCTGCTGCTGTTCTTGGATGAGGTCAGCCAGCTGTTTTTGGAGAGACATATCTTTACCATGTACTTGTTTAATAAATGGATGCTCCAAAAGATGGGTGACTGAAGGACGCTTTTCAAAATCCTTGATAAGACACCTGTGACAGAGAAATAGTGGTCTCAGACAATGATGTTATTTCATTACAGCATGATTTGAGTCGGCTTACTGTGTGGCTGTTATTGTACACTAGTTTATTTTTCCACAAATTTGAGTTCTTCAGTATACAAGAATCTTCCTCTACATTGAAATAAATCTGGCATAAAATACTTAACTAAGTTAATTCATGCTACAAGTATAGTAATATAAAGGCTATGGATTTGAGCTTATTTAATCTCTCTTTTTAACTCTAACTAGACTACTATAAAAAATGGCATCGTATCTTGCAACTGCTGTACAGTTAATATACAGTAAACATGACGTAAGGTGAATAGACAATACTTCATTCACTTTAATTTTCTACCTATTCTCTGAAGGGAGTTTGACTAAGAACTGTAGGATATAGCGTATTAAAAACCACAAGTGAAACCTGTGATACAACATTAGTCAGAACAATTTGATATAGAGCTTTGTTTTGTTTTTAAAATGAATGTTTCAGGTAGATCTTCTATATTGCAATGACAAGTGTTAGCATAAGAATCATAGAAAATTATGCAAACCTACATAATTCAGACTGGAAGATAAATGAATGAGTCAGAATTAAATGCTAGCCATGGTATCAAAGTTCTGTCTGTGACAGGAACAGGTGATCTAGTAATGAGTAAAGAGATACATCCTATTAAATTAGCATAAAATAAAGTATCATGCTAATTTATACAATCAAGATTTAAAATTGACGAAGCCATCATTAAAGTTGAAATATTTTCTCTACAATAAAGCTGAAATAATACAGTCCAAACAGAATAATGACCTAAAGGGATTAGACTGCTTTAAAGTACCCTCTAATTCTTTATATTAAAGTATTCTATTTACCTTGCTCAGCAATAATATTGACATTATTTGAGAATGTGAAAAAGAAATGCTGCAATATACCTCCCTTCTAGCACCTATAATTTCAGTGAACTATAGCCCAAGATGGGTTTATTTGATGAGATGCATTCATATTACATACTTCACAATTACATCTCATATTTGCTGATACTAAGTGATACACCTAAAGTACTGCCTTAGCAGGGCGAAGTATCACAAATAAAGATTATCTTTTTAGCCAGTTCAGTGAAACTTTAATACCTTTTAGAATAATTTATATTTGAGCAGTATGAATAAAAATTTACAAAATTTAAGCTACATCTAAAAAAAAAAAATCATACTCATTAATTGATTTCAAATACTACAAAACACATTAGCAAATGATTGAAGTTTAGCCTCACCTCAAATACTTTACTGAAGCCTAAATTCTGGTCTTAAAATGATCCTGAAATATCTTTGAACTTTAATACTTTAGGTTCTTGAAAACCATTTTCCCAACCTCTTCTTGGTACATCTAGTCCAGAAAAGACAGTCTGTAAAATGTGCTACCAGTTTTATAACTATTTTGGTGAATTTTGCTACAGGCTAGAACTGTAGCCTCCTAATAGAAAGAATAAAGTAGCAGAACCTGCTTTATTTCCATCCCTCTGAGTGCAAGGCTATAAATACCAGTCCTTCCCCTCCATGAGGAGATCCATCATTAGGCTTCAACAGGTTCTGACAACTCCTCCCCCCCCCACACACACTTTTCCTTTTGTGTTCCATGGTTTTTAAAAGTCAATACACCCACACAGACAATATGGTCCATGTCAATCCTGGTTAAATTTATATGTTTCCTGAGCAAAAGGAAAAAAGCATTTGAAAAGAAAGATAACATTAATCAGAAAGGCAGAGGAAGAAAACCAAAACAACAAAAAACTATGCAGTATACAAATCATACATTGATGGCAAATATCTGAAGTGAAGATTTCAGTCTGCAAAGCTCATGCACTCATGTGATTTCTACCATTCTAACAATAATTACACATTTATATTTGTATTATATTGTTAATATATAAATTTTCTTATTAAATCTGATTACATCAAGAATTTTTCAGTAATAATCTTGAATCCAAGTGAAGCTATGTCATAGAATCACAGAATAGTTTGGGTTAGAAGGGACTTCTACAGGTCATTTAGTCTAACCCCCCGCCCCTGCAATGTGCAGGGACATCTTCAACTAGATCAGGCTGCTCAGAGCCCAGTCCAACTTGATCTTGAATGTTTCCAGGGATGGGGCATCTACCACCTCTCTAGGCAACCTGTTCCAGTGTTCTACCACCCTCATTCTAAACATTTCTTCCTTATATCTAACCTAAATCTACCCTCTCTTTGTTTTAAACCATTACCCCTTGCCCTATCACAACAGGCCCTAATGTCATGGTAGTTGCTTTTCAGATAGCAACATTAGAGTTCAGTTTTTCCATACAGATGGCCCCTAGGTGAAACATCCAAATGTCCAGGATACTGCATTCATTAAGGAAGCCCAACAAGAGATGGAAGGAAAACATTTTAGGTAAAAAAGTTCTTAGCTTATCTATTATGCACCTGAAATGATAGCTGTTTAGGTCTGGCAGGTTTTTTAACAAGCATAGGTAAGCAGTCTTGAAGACTATTTTAGAATTACCTTTGCTTCTGTTGCATACTCCTGCCAATCACTTGTTGACTATTCACTTTGCATGCATACTACTCTTCTGCTTTGCAACTATCAAAGTTTATATATTGTTTCATCTATATGCAGCCTTCATTCGCTGGTAGTAGGGTATTTTTGCAATCTGTGGTCACTTAGGATTTCACTTGAAACACAAATAAAACTTCATGAATTTTTAAGATGAGCAAGCTAATGAGACAAGACACATCCACATGATTCTGTGATCAAAGTCTATTCCAAGCTCAGACAGAGCACACCTACTATTGTGCCAAGTTTGTGCCTGTATTGGAAGAACAACCCTTTCAAGATGGTTAGTGAGATGCCACAACAAAACAAAGAGCTAGTAACCAACAGCCGTGCAAGGGTGAAGGACTGCTGCTTAAATTCATGTCTGTAACTTCTAGTGTGATTACTTCTACTCCAGTTCAGGGAAGAGAATGACAGGAAGGATGTACACCTCCACTGAAGCTGGTTTAATCCATTAAGTTAAATGGTAAATACCTAGCACATTCGGAACACAGCAGCAGGAAGACCAGGCAGGCCATAGGGAACTGACGTGCGTATGGCATATACGCTCTCCTTTTGCTCTGAAAGAGCAGAAGTGTTGACACAGTCACCTCTAGAAATTACTCCCTATTGTGTTTCAAGTGCCAGTAACTTGCAGCTTAGTCACAGTAGGTACTGTGGGCTCAGTGTGTACTCAGATATTCAGTGCCAATTTGGTGTATCACCAGGCCTACTGCAATGGAGTGCAGGATGGAGAGCTGTCATGTGACACTGAAAAGATAGCTTTATGTTTCTCCTCTTGGTGCATATTCCTTTGTCCTAATTTCTCTCTAGGCACACAAGACCTATTAATACTCTGAGGTATATTTAAATGCTCTGCTTCTACACACTGTCATTTCAACTGTGTTGCTTTTAGTGCCACACTGAATGCGTGCTTCTGCTGTTCTCAGTCAGCTACCTGTAAAATAACAGGTTCTTGGGCCACCACCTACGTGATAATGTAAAATGATGCATCAGACAGCCAGTGTCACTGCAGGTGTTCAGTAAGTTATCACCTCCTACACCAGAAGCAGTATTGGCACTATACTGCTCTTCAGAAAAAAATAATTTAACATAGAACATCAGCTCTTATGATGCTGAAGTGTTCATGAAGGTGGGCATTATCACAGTGTCTTCTATTGACCGGCACCCTGAAAGAGAACTATTATGTGTGAAAAAGTTAATCACATGGGTGCCTGAATCCAAAGCTGCCAGTACATTCAGTCAGGAGATTTATTCCATGTAAAGGCCAGAAAAAAAGAAATCAAGACGTAATACACAAAAAACCAGCAATATTAACATTTGAAAGAGGAAGAGTACAGCAACAAAACAGCTTTTATAATGTCCGTTATCAGAAAATCTTCTTATTTAATGCAGCCAACAAGAATCAGTGTGTGCATTATGCAAGTAAAATACAGTATTAAGAAGTCATATCACCAAAGTATTTGCTTCCGAGGAAAGCAGAAAACTAAAATACGTTCAGGTGCTCATCTGAGCATTTGTTTAAGACCAATTTGGACAGTTAGCTTAGGCACTGTCAAACATCAACCATGCTGCAATTACATAAAAAACCAAGAACTGTGCTGCACCTACAAATTAAGCCCATTTGTTTGGCCCATGGTAATTATTGAAACAAAAAAACAAAAAGGGGAGACTGCCTTGCATTGAGCAAATTGACTAGCAAATCTACAAGATGGTTTCATATAAGGTATGATGAAAATATGATCACATTTGGTCTGCTATTTTTTGGATCTAAAATAATAGGAAAGCTAAGTAAGTAGAGATTGGTAAGGAAACAAACATAGTACATGTTTGCCCTGATGAAAGTCAATCCATTACCTTATTTGAAATTCTAGTATCTTCCATCATGCTTTCTTAGCTGAAAATTAATTCTCAGAATTCATTAGTGTCACTACATTAAACATAGGTTGCAGCCATTTGCTGCAATCTCACAGCCAGGCTCCTAAGCACCATTTCCATTCTGCCACAATTACAGGCAAAGATGAAGTATTTATTAGCAGGGGATAAGAGCAGACTCCCATACACACAGGCCCATCTGAGACAGCCTCTAAAAATTCACTGGCTGCTTGCACTTGGACGATAACATTGTTGGAATTGCTACCTCTCAACAATGTAAACTGTCATTTTGCAAGTAGCGAATCAGATGACTGGCAAGGAGAGATATTTATCAGCAGTGTTGAGCTAATATTTACTAATGAATAAAGGGAAAGAAATAGATTTCATAAGAACTGCAATGGTGGTCTAAGTCTCCTGTGTGTTCAGAAATAGAAAACAATTACTAATGTCATTCACTATTGCAGCCAAACCTAAGTAGAGCAGCAGCAGTTATTTCTTTCAGAAATTCTCCTTCATCAGATCTATTTGGCCACAGGTAC